CAACTACCCTGCACGTGGTAATCCTTATCTGGTCTCAAGGTTCACGTTCACAGAAGGGACACAAGCCCCATGGTATGATGCGGCAGTAAATCCAAATAATGATCCTGTACTTATTATTAACGGTTTTTTGGTCGTATGTGAAGTTCAAGATTCAATTGCTGGTTCTACTTCTGCTCCCACTTCTATTCCTACTCCTATTCCTACTCCTGTTCCTACTACCACAGCCCCAGCAGCAGCATCAGAGTCATCATGGATCAAGAAGCATTGGTATGTCCCTCTGATCATTGTTTTGGTTGTGCTGGCCGCTATCATTGGACTGATTCTACTATGTTGTTGTCTTGGTGGCGGTGGCGAAGACAAGTACCTATATCCAATGGCCACTAGAGAGGCCAGTGATATGCCTCTGCGTGCACGTGAAATCACTGATGACGATGATGGTTACTATAATGATATTGATGATGACCGGAGTGTGTCCATGGTTCCATCAGAACCGATGCCAATGGAAGATATTGAATCTGCGAATGTATCAGTGTACTCGGTTGCACAGAACAATGTTTACGGTGATGGAGATGTATTCTCGCAGGGCAACCGATAAACATATTCTGCATAAAGCACATCTGAAGGTGAAAGAACAACCCTAATAACAGAATATGTTTCACTTTTTTAAGCATGTGCATATCTAATAAATGACTTTTTTCCCTCTCTGTTGTTGTTTTTTCTATTAGATTTTTTTAAGTTTTTGGCTTTTCTTGTTTTTTCTTGCAGTTTTTCCACTCTATCATAAAGTGTGGCTATTGTTTGTACAACCTTCTTGCATGTACCCTCTGTGAAGAGGGAAGCAGCAAAAGTGAGCATGTTGATAGAAAATTTGTAGAGAGATAAACTGCGAGAAAGTTAGAGTGAGCCTAACCGTCATCGTTTATAGTTTGTAATGGGGCAGTGTACTAATAAAGCCTATTTCCCCATCATCCTCAGAATTAATGTGTATAAGAAAACGAACAGTTGATAGAACCCCCTCCTTTTTTTGCATCCAATGTGTGACAAGGGTGCTGGGGGAATTATTATGTGATTATCTATTATTTGTACCTTGTTTTAGTATGTCTGAAATTATAATCCTACGATTTTTTATTT